TGCTGTTGGGCACAATGCAGTGGGGCATTGGTGGTTTCAAATCAAAAAATAGAGGTGACAAGAAAAGGGGAAAATAGAAGTGGGAGGCTCCTGGACTCTGGGTTTCTGTCTCCTTTACCTGACAGAAGGGGATGATTTGGAAGACTCCAGAAAGAACATTGACTGACAGTGGACACCTACCCTTGATCACTGTCAGCACCGTGTGTGGCCGATCCAAAGAGATTGCCAGCCCTAAAGCTTTCAGGTATTTTTTCTCATGGAGCAGGTTGGAAAGCTCTTGATCTCTGTAATGCAGTCAGGAAGAAGAGGTTGTCAGAGGTTCGTTTGCTTGAGGGAACAAAACGTTATGCAGAATGCAGCAAATTCAATGGTAACAATGCATAGAGATTTAGTGCCAAGAAGATAATAAAAGTAGGCTAGCCAGTGAAAACCACAGTGCCCTCATTGTGTCGATAATTATCCTGGCATTATGTTAAAGGGGTTCCTGAGCTATTCTGTGCTGGCTGACACAGGAGAAAATGAACGATGAGTAAGTTTCAATGGTCTGACTTGGCTTATCTCAGCAGTACAGATCCTTGAAGTTCATTGACTTCCAAGCTAATAGTTATTATATGAAGATTTTATGGGAAGCAAAGATAACCTACACCAGCGGATGAAGAGCTGAGAGAGATTACAGGGCAGACAACCAGCTAAACAAAGGCTTTGCTTTATGAATCAGAAGGAACGGGAAGGCTTTAAGGGCAGTTTCATGGGGACGGCACATGATAAAGGAGACAATAAACTATCCAAAGTACTGCTCAGGGTGACTCACTTCATAATCTGCTCCTCTTGCTTAGCTTGCTCCTCTTCCAGTTCAATTTCAGTAACATCCTTTAACAGATCACAACATAGCCGCTGTCAGTCTTGCTTGAACAGAGTTTGATTTCCTGCCCAGCTTTTCAGCAGGAGCACGTGCTCCACAACAAGATCTTTATGTGGGGTTTCAAATGCTGAATCTAGCTGCTCCCCAAATTATTTACAGCACCGTGGACTTGACCCCTTCCCAACCCATCGCTGGTGTTCCCATTGCGCCTTTCGCTGCTTGCAGGCTGCTCAGGGCCTTTTCCTGTCTCTGCCTTTAGAGAGAAGTAGCCAGTGCTGTTCTGGAGCCTTGGCCGAAATCAGTATCTGCCTATCCCCATTTCACAGATGGGGAGGATGAGGACAGCAGAAACCCAGTCCTGGATTCTGACCACTAGACCACACTCCCTCCATTCTTTTCTTAAAGCAAATTGAAGGAGGACCATGTACGATACCTTCCACAGGATGACACAGGAATCGCTGGATGCTGTCACGACCAGGTCATCCTGTTTGTTACAGTGGAGACCCCACACTTTATCTTCATGACCGTCTAAGGTTTTCACACACTCATTTGTTTTAATCGTCCAAAGTTTCAAGAGCCCATCGGAACCGCTTTTGGAAAGGGGAAAGAGAAACCAAACGTAAATCCCTGGATTTAAATCGGCACTGCACGGTCCTAGTCTTGCTCTGCTGCAACCTGTCAGAAGTGAGGGCTTGGTAAAAGTGACACTCTCACACCATCACGGGACCCTGTCAGGTTAAAAATCATTTCAAACTAAACCAAATGATGCTATGAACATCCCCTTAGAGTATTCTTTCTATCCTGGCTATTCATATAGCCCCGATCATGGCAGTATCTGAGGCACTCAGAATCCGAATGTATGTACCCTCCCAGCACCCCTGGGAGGCAGGGCAGTGCTCTTATCCCCATTGTACAGACAGGGAACTGAGGCACAGAGAGTAAGTGACTTGCTGGGGACATGAAGTCGGTAGCAGATGTGGGAACTGAACCGGTATCTCCCAAGACCCAGGCTAGCGCTTTAGCGGCTGAACCATTCTTCTTCTCTGAACTAAGAGTTTTAAACCCCAATGTACGTCTCGCTGTGTATGCAGTTCATTGGCTTTTTCCATTTCTCTCTGCTTGGAGAGTGCAAAGATCATTCATTCAGGTTTTATTTCTGTTTACAACTAGTAAAGGCAGAAAATCCTTTCCTTGAGGGGTCTGCATTCGTTTCCCTTTGGCTGATTAACCCTTCCTCTGCTGCTCACGCCCGCTACAAGAGGTGAAATGCCCCTTCAGAGCTGCCCACGTATTGGGTATCTCTCATGTCCCAGATAGTTCAGTGGAGGTTATTGGAACACAACAACACAGGTGCTAGACTGGAGGACGAGTAGGGGCGGAACTAGCACTTCAGCAAAGCTGAGCAGAAATCGAGGATTTTCCCATCAGCAAGGTGAACGTACAATTCGCTTCAGGGAAAGGGCTACAGTCAAGGCGGCTGGTGCTGACTCATCTGGTTGCTGGTTTAAGACCCAAATCCAGTTTCAGCGTAAGCAGGCCCAACTCCCACTGACTTCAATGGGAGTCTCACCTGCTTACTCCAGAACTGAATGTGGTTCCCTCTCTCGTCAGAATCCCACCTGCCGAGCACACCTCTCTCCCTGGGAAAGGGGATTTTCAAATCAACAACTCAACCTCCCGCTCAAGCCTCTGTTCGCCAATTCGCTGCACTGGCCTAGCTTCACTTAGGCTCCTAGAGGAAGGTCATACCTACTAAGCAGCTGTGTCCCCCGGCTCACGAAAACTATCTTCAGCACAGAGGCGTCGTGACCTTCAAAAGTCTGGGTGGGAAAAAAAATAAGTATAAAAAGAAGTAACAGAATATTAGACAGACAGGTCACAGGGGAGACCATGCCTCACTGTTTGGAGCTAAGAGGCAGTTTGGAATGGCGCTCTTCTTTCACGAGAACACAATCTGTATCCAGATGCTAGATAAAGAAGTTCCAAGCAGGCAAACCATATCCCCGGAACCTGCGTTTTGCTACAGGGTGGGAAAGGTAGGAGGGAAGAAAAGGCGCATCCCAGTACTACTTTATAAAAGCTTAGTGTAACTGCTGGAACATGCAATCCAAGGTTAAATCACAGTATGATCAGAGCGAGACATTTACATTAACTGGATCAGTCAGCTGCTGAAAAGTTGATTCACCTGCTTATTGTGTCAGATGGGAGATAACACCATCGGGGAAGAGTCACGTGGGGATCACAGCACTAGGACTACTAAGTTATCTGAAGGTAGGAGCATGCAATAAGAAGGGTGCAATTTAGCATCTACCTCCTTCTAATAATGAGACAGACTGGAGAGATGTTTCTCCATTGAAGACCAAGAGTCAAATTACTCTGTTCTATGCCCATTTCCTCCAAGGTCCTATCTCTGTCACGTCAACCCAGCCTGCACTGCTCCTGGGTTGGCCAGAGAAGGAAGCAGGTTATTCAAGAGTATTGCTAAGGGGCTTGCTGCCTGTGCAGGCCTGGAGGCCTGGAGAACAAACCCAGGCCTGAACAGCTTTTCCCTCATCACGGCAGTGTTGTTACACTTCTGCTAGTCTGGCCAAGCCGTGTCTGTTTGGAGCAGCCCTGACGAATCTCTGCCACATTCAAGTGTTTGTCTAGACGGCCCAGGAGTTTGAATTTTCATTACCTTCAGACAGCTGAAGTCATGAAGACCCCACAGCTTCACAGTGCCATCTGCTGAGGAGGTGGCCAAGACTTGATCCACAGGAGAAAACTGCACGCACCAGATCCCACGCGTGTGTCCCGAGAAGATGCCCATCAGAGAGCAATCAGGACAGGACCACAGCTTGGCCGTCCTGTCCTGTGAGCCGGTGGCAATCAGTTTGTCATTTGGAGAAACCGCCACACTATTTATATCCTAGAGAAAGTCACACAAAAGGAGCGAAGCAATGAAATTCTCTTGCCAGCACTAACCAGGGTAGCCCAGGGCTGAGAACGGAGGCGTGAGAGAGGTACAAGTTCTGGCTATGCTCATTCTGAGCCCTCAAGATTCATTGTTCCCGGGACCTTACCTGTTTTATAGCTAACACACCTGTTACAGCTCAACTAGAAACAAAATACAACATTTTCCCATGTTGTGGTCTCCCCAGCACATGAAATCTTTCCTTTTGTGCAGCTGTTCTATGCTTATAGGCAGGTGCCCCCAAGCCAAGTCCCACTAACTCCGTCAGTCTCAGACACACATCTGTTTCCTGTACTGATCTGAGATTCCTAGAGGAGAACTAAAACATCTGAATGAAAGCCACAGACAAAGAGAGGGGAGAAAAATACATGCCCTGGCTTGGGAAATTATTTTTTAGCGAAAGGAACAAATAGTTTCAGGGGGGGATTTCCCTAGCCTCCACTTTACAAATAAATCACTGATTTTCCTTGTCTGATGTCAGTGGAAGTTATTTCACCAGTCATGTTACTGCCTGGAATCCATAAACATATATTTTACGAAGTACTGAACCTTGCGGCCAAAGGCACTCAAAGCACAGAGCACAAGAACTGGCTCGTGGAGCTTCCACAGAAAAAGAACCTTCTCCAGTCCACTGAGATTTTACCTTGTCGTGACCCCTCTCCGTCACGTGGGCATGAAGGATTTCAGGGCTGGAGACCAAGCCTGCTTTTGTTTTGGCAGTGAGGGACTCTGGGAGATTCCAGACTTTGATCGTACAGTCTTGGCTGCTGGTGACTACAAAGCTCTCTTTCATTCTGGAAGCAGGAGTGGGGGGAAGATATGAAGAGGAAAAATGTCAAATGCAATAAAGCAAAACAATTGTTTCACCTGCACAGAGAAAAATGGCTTTTCTTTCTCCAGCACCACCCTATGCACTCAGTTGGGATTTCAAACAGCTCAGTGTTTGAATGTTTTCAAAAGCTTCGGTTCATTTCATTTAAACCCTTACAACAGCCCCCAGCAGTTCAGCTATTTGCCACAGGCACCATTACTCCTCTGAGCCAAGTATCACTTAATGAATTGCACCTTTTGAATACAGAAATTGGACTCCAAATAGAAACAAATGTGAAGAAAGGAGAAGAGTTTATAAACAAGCAAGATTTCCCAGCAAGGTCGATTATCTCTGTGTTTCTCCCCTTCCCTCTCTAATTCACTGTAACGTAATCCAGGAGCTAGATGGATCAAGGCTCCTGCAGCTTTTTGTTCCTCTAGAGCAGGGGTCGGCAACGTTTGGCACGTGGCTCGCCAGGAGAAGCGCGGTCAGCACATCCCTCGCCCGCGCCGCTTCCCGCCGCCCCCATTGGCCCGGGACAGCGAACCGCGGCCAGTGGGGGCCGCGATCGGCCGAACCTGCCGCGTCAGCAGGTAAATAAGCTGGCCCGGCCCGCTAGGGTGCTTACCCTGGTGAGCCGCATGCCAAACGTTGCCGAACCCTGCTCTAGACAAACTTGAGCCAGCCGGACAAAGAGGAGAAGCGCAAACATAAGAGCTGGGGGTGGTGAGGCAACAGGGTGGGCCAAAAAAAGTCTCTCTTCCAACTTCATCACATTACAAGTCAACACGTTTACCATGACTGGCCTGGGATACCGCAGAGGCAGCAGCCTTGGTTCAAACAGACTGTGGTTTCTTCATTGTGAACACAGACCACATGTAAGAAGAATGATGCCTCCGTTACCTTGAGCAAGAGAGCGCACCCACTCCATGGGCATGACCCAATCCTTGGGCCACGCAGACCACATCGCCTGCTTTATCCATCCGCCAAACCCGGAGGCTTCTGTCCTGAAACAGGAAAGGAGGAAAACAGTTATACTTTTCTGACAAGTGAATAGATTAGTATTAATAGCCAGTGTGTCAGGTATTAAAAAAAAAATCTATGCCTGCAGTCATTTCATCACCACCACTTCAGGGCACAGATAGACAACTGTAATGAGGGATTCCATCTTACAGGACCAAGCAATATTCATAGAATCATAGAAATGTAGGACGTAATAGATTACCTAAATTCACCCTCCGGTGCTTAAAAATCTTTCAAGGGGATTCCACAACCTCCTTATTATCCTTTTCCAGTGCTCAGCTATTCTCAGAGAGTTAGAAAACTCTCTTAATATCCAACCTAAATCTCCGTTTCTGCAAACTAAGCTAGACAAATTAAAGGTAATTTTAATGGTAAGCTACAATGTACATTCATTACTTTATTTCTGAGCATGTTGCGACAGCCTGCCCCTTGTCTCCTTACCTCTGATCATCTGTGCTACACGCTGCTCCCAGCCACTTCGGCAGCAATGAATAGCTCTGAGCTCACATGCTTACTAAGAGTAGCACAAATACTAAAGATCCCAGGAAGATAAAACAACTGGGATTTCCTGTTGGGCCAGTATACTAAAACCAACCCATATTTTTCTAAGGACAATGTTAAAAAAATGATAGGATTTAAAAAGAGCTTGGATAGCTATGAAATCTCTAGATATTCTCTAGAATTTCGAAGGACAGAAGTTTCCATCGGTACAAAAGCCCTTTCCAAAATCAAGGAAAATGAGCAGAAAACTGCCCACAACAATAAAGGTCACTATAAGCAATGGGCCTTACTACGTACCCAGGAAAGGAAATATTAGATTACCTTAGCACAGCTAGAAAACATCAAGCCCTTTCTGAAGACATCCAGGGCCAGAACGGTTTCTGAAAGGAAAGACGGCAGCAATTATTGTTCATGATTTGTAGCGCCTCGGAGCCCTAGTTGTGGACCAGAACCCTACTGGCCTAGGCATTTCAAACAGAATAAAAAGATTAATTCTAAGCACTTCAGAGCAGGGTCCAATATAAAACAAGAGGTAACAGATGGGGCAGCAAAAGGAACAATGGGAATACTGGTCAGCATGCTCTGCAGTGATCTCAGGGATAACCACTGCCAAGTTGCTGTGATGGCTACGAAAAAAAAAGGGGAGTTTTAAGAAGGGGTTTGAAGGCTAATGAGATTTGTGGATGGTTACAGGGAGCACCTTCCACGCATGAGGGAAAGCAACAAAATATTGTATTTAGACAACAGAAATGCATGAAGTAAGGCAGAGTCCACCGCCCAGTAGGGGTGAGGGGAAGCTCTGTGGCACTTAAAAACACACCTACGCTGTGAGCGCTGTCGTTTTCTAGTAAGTACTTGGCTACGTTTGTGGACCTGGTGTGATTTGATTAGACACTTGCAGTCACAAAGTGCATTAACACTCAGAGTCGGTCTTCGACCCCCCACACCCTAATCTAGAATTTAAGAGGATTTCAGTGCTGGCGAAAGATGCTAAACCAACAGCCCTGGAGAATAAAGGCTTCTCTTTAAGCAAAACAGGGACAGCATGGCGAGCAGCAGGAGCTTCCATGCACAACGCCTGCAGAGCAGATGCCTACGGTAGAGGGCACTGCCGCCTCCGCGCAGACGAGTCTTGGGAGGAGAGAAGCCAGTTCCAGGGGTGACCCACACAGCTCCTCCCTGCCCAGTGCAGAGCTGACAAGCCTCTAGGTCCCTGCGTACCTGTGTGGCCGTACAGGATCTGGCAGTGCGATGTTGCCAGCTCAAACACTTTCAGCTGAGGGCTGTTGGTAGCCACAACAATGTGAGAGTCAGCAGGGCCAAGGAACCGCACATCCAGAACCTCCTCGTTGTAACCTGCAAACTGGGGGCAACGAAACAAGAGACAGCTTAACAGGCAAGGAACGAGCTGGCGAGAGAAGACCCAAATGACAGCCACGGTGGCTGGTAGCACTGCATTCCTGTGCATTCCTGGGGATCTGTCATTTGATGCCATGCTTAAAAACAATCTCACATAGCACAGCCTCCATTTAAATACATAGACATTTAAGGATGTGGAGCATTCCTCGATGGTCTGTCCCTCACTGCCCTTTCGTCTCTGTTTCATTTCTTTAAGAAGAAATCCCTGCAAAGAACAACCTATAACTCCTGATGCCAGGTCTTTGGTTCATACTGCATAGACACCAACTCAGGACAATGCAAAGCTCTCCCAAAGAAACCTTATCAATGAACCTGTGCTCTGTGCATTGGAAATAGATCTGAGTACCAAGGAGAAAAGGGAAAGAACATAAGAACGGCCATACTGGGTCAGACGAAAGGTCCATCTAGCCCAGTATCCTGTCTTCCAATAGTGGCCAATGCCAGGTGCTTCAGAGGGAATGAACAGAACAGTTTATCATCAAGTGATCCATCCCCTGTTGCCCATTCCCAGCTTCTGGCAAAAAGAGGCTAGGGACACAATTCCTGTCCATCCTGGCTAATAGCCATTGATGGACCTATCCTCCATATACTTATCTAGTTCTTTTTTGAACCCTGTTATAGTCTTGGCCTTCACAGCATCCTCTGACAAGGAGTTCCACAGGTTGACTGTGCATTGTGTGAAAAAAATACTTCCTTTTGTTTGTATTAAATCTGCTGCCTATTAATTTCATTTGGTGACCCCTAGTTCTTGTGTTATGAGGAGGAGTACATAACACTTCCTTATTTACTTTCTCCACACCAATCATGATTTTATAGACCTCTATCATATCCCCCCTTAGTCG